TTTTGTTTTCGAGTCTTTAGCGTTAATCTGAAATGATTCAAAAATTGCTGGAGAGAAAAAAAAAACATACTCGCATTTAAGAAAAGCATCATTAATTCACTTTGTTTTTTTTTTGTTTTTGTTCAATGTTAGAGCGGGAATGCATCATAATTTCATCAATAAACCGATTTATTTGGAAGTAAAACAAATGTTACCATTCCGCAGAGCTAATCGAATCAATCGGTGCTTATTTTTTTCCTCTCTTTTATTTTTTTTTTTGTTTGAAATTCAGCAATAAATAAAGCTAATGTTTATCACTTTGGATTTAATTTGTAAGAATGAATAAAAAAACAAAAAAAAAGGAAATGAGTTTATCCTAAATAAATATTTTTTTAAAGAGTCAGCTGGCCCGCAGAGAATGAATGTTACCTGTTACTTATATATTCACATACACTTATGTACATAGGTATGAGCATATAAAATTTTTGATTATTAAACATTCACCATATTTAATATTTTATTTAATTAAGATTGCCAAACGTTTAAAATGTAACGATAACATTTTGAGTAAAAAACAAAAATTTGTAGAAATTGTTTTGCCGATTTTTATTCAGTGAATGCGTGCCATCTATTCTCAATTGAGAAGATCATTTTTTTCGAACTACGTTCTACGTTTTTTCCCGATAACACAAATGCAAACAGTTGATTGGATAATATAAAGTGATATATAGAAGAAACTTAAAAAATAAGCTTCACCAAAGAGATATTGAAGTTGTAGGAAGTGTAGATTGAGGTAGACAATATTTCAAAACTTTCACGAGACAGAACACGAAATACGAAATATAACAAAAGTAATCACACATCCTATATTTTTTGAATTTTTCGGAATCTAATAAAGTATGTTCAAAATTTTAAGAAACATTTAGTAATGCAATCCCGTGAAAAATTGGTAATATTTTTGGCACCGAAAGCTATCATACAGTAGCTTTTGATGATCTGTCTCACAACAAGTAGGCGTTGGTAAACTGTAACTTAGATAACCTAACTACTTAGGTTTATAGTTTACTGAAGCAATAATTCAGTTTAATTGTTTTCGTTTTTTTGGTTCAGTTAACTACAATGAGTGAATAAGTAAATATGGAAATAGCACGCACAGAAACCACAATAAAAGAGAGGGAAATAATAATGAAATTGGAAAAAGGAGGCAAATCGATTGGAAAAACCGGAGAAATAATTAGTAACAAATTTAGCCACAGTAAAAAACCGTGCAGGAAATACGGGAGAAGATCAAAGTAAAACTGGTCGTCCTTTAAAGATTAATAACCGTGCTTAGTGCATCAAATGAACTAAGGAAAAAACCCAAAACTGAGTACTCCAAAATTAGTTCCAAACATGTCATAAAATTTGCAAACTAACATTTGGTTTCAAGTTATTCGTAGATTATTGTGAAAAGAAGAATATGGCCGTGCTCCACGTAAAAAACCTCTAATATCAGAAAATAATAAATTAAAAATAAGAGATTTTGCAACAACATACAAAAATACAATGGCAAACCCCGAGTTCTACATGCAAAAGTAATTTCAATGTTTTCGGTGCAGATTGTGGGGGGAAATTCGGGGGATTGTGGGGGCGCAAACGAAATCAGGCATTGAATTAAGAGCATTTTATACACGTGCAATAGGTACTGCGATGGTTCGGGTATCGATACTTGGTCTCTTTTTATTGAGCAAACATTGTAAATTTGATAATTTGAGAAGTTTTTTTTATAATTGTTAATTCTACTCATAAATTCTTAACAATTAGGGACTCTATTTCAAAAAAAAAAAAATCATAAAAATTAATATTATTTATTTTTATATTTTTTTAGCAAATTTTTATTACAAATTTATATTATATGAGTTAAAGTATTCCGTATTATAAATTTTATTTTAAGCGACCAAATCCGACCGAAAATTAAAAAAAAATAAAAGATCTACAACATTAAGAACATATAAAAACATTAAGGAAAACGAAACAAAAAAGAAAAACAAAAGAACAATAGAAAAAAAAAGTTATTTTAAGCGCCGGTAATTAACAGGTGATTTGGTATGGGCGCCTAAATCTTCACATATTTTGTAGATTTTCGATTTTAATTTTTTTTCCCTTTCTGCTTTTGAATATGAAAAACAAATAAAGTATGGAATTCTTATGTTACACGCCTAGCAGGTACTTATCTAAACTATACACATTTTTTTACATTTTGTGTACATATGTACATACTTACATGCTTATAAATGATTTGAAATCTATAAAAAGTGCAACTATGAAATTAAACAAAAAAAAATAAGAATAAAAATATCGAAATGGTAAAAATAACAGCGAAAATCCTGGGCGATATAACGCGACTGCGACAGAATTTGTGTATGATAAATGGTTTTACAAAAATTGGGCAAAATAAAAAATGTTTTCTGTTTTTAGTTTCCTGTTTGTGTTTTTTAGGGGGTTTTAGAGTGAAATTATTGCTCACACTTTTATTAGAAGAAGATCATTTATATGAGCTGCACCATCCAATCCACATTAAAATCCATAAAAAACTCTAATATTTGAGCCTCAGAAAACCTATAGAGAAAATAATTGCTTCATATTTAGAAATTCATTATGCAAAATTTGTATTCCATTAGAGTATATATTATGTCATATTGAATATAGGGAAACTTAGATTGAATGATACAATTTAAACCGTGTACGCGATTGAAACTTGATTTGAAACTAAATTTGATCAAACTTTCATGAAGATAAGCATTTATTCTATAATTTCCAATAAAAAATTATTGATATTCCAATAATATTGAAATATAAAAGGGCAGAAGATCCTCACTCTTTACCTTGTCTGAATTATCATTACAATAAATTGCCATTTGATCGTATGCTCTCTTTTATGGGTTTTTGTAAACCATTTCCGTTCTATTTACATGAAAATAAGCTCGTATTTTATAAATTTTAAAAAGCGTATGTTCTTAAAATAAATGCAATTAGTCTGAAACTAATATTCCAATTTTCAAATTTACAATGCTCAATTCTTACATTTTGCTTATATGAAGAGGGATCCTAAAGAATTCATATAAACAACCAAGGGATTAAACTGAAATCGTTAGAGCCTCTACAGATCCTGTTTCATAATTCAATACAAGTTTTAATTCATTGTCAAGACTATATGCAATACCTTATAATCTATATTTTACAGCTCCAATATGTTGGCAAGAATAACTATGACCATTCGTTTAAACATTTTGTAACAATGGCTCTTGATGGCAAATTATAGTAAATCAAAACCTAAAATCAACAACAACAAAAAAAATAGTAAAACCTACAAATTCAAAAAAAATGATTTACTCCTCCATTATGAAAAACACACATTCTTAACAAGTTTAGGAAGAGGAAAAAAAAAAACTGAAAAGAATTTGTGAAAAAAGGACTGAATTTTTTTTTTCTAGATTTTATTAAAATTCTCCATGAGCATAAAATTAGGCGCCTAACTAGCTAAAAAAGGTTGGAAATTCTCACTGAACAACTATAATTATCTATTTGTTTTTCCTTTTTTTTTTGTTCTTATTTTCGCCGGTTTTGTGCGTCGTTGGAATCATATAATTTGTATGTATAAAGGGATTTGAATGCTATTATAGATTTCATTTCCCACTAGTAAGTATTTTAAAAAAAAAAACTTAGTAGCTTTATCAAGGTTCTTAATTTCCTCTTTAATATCTGCATATTCGATATTTGTACGATATTCAACTGGAATAGGTCAAAACAAACCAATAAATTTGACTATATAATCAACATACCGATTTTTAGGGTCTGGCCCTTCAAATTAATTCAACCAAACCAAATGAATACCAAACTGTTAACTCAGAAACTAAACTGGAAAATTCAAAGAATTCAATTATTATTTTTGGGTTACAAAAGGATAAAACCGTGCTGTGTTAAAATTAAATCATTTCTGCATTCGTTTTCGTAATGCCCCAATCGTTAGTACCTTAGAGTTGTTTTTTTTTTTTTAATTTTTATTTTTACCTTGCCCATATTTTATATTAACGAGGAAACATTTATCGTATTTTTTTTTTGATAAAAAGGGAGAAAACACCTCCTTTTGAAAATATTGAGATTTGGACTGTTTAATTAGCGAAAATGAGTGTGAGAGATCCTTTTCTTCTTCTTCTTCTACTTGTTATTGTTTCTGTATATTACAGGTATTTTAAATGTTTACCTTTGTAAGTATCTTATAACAAAAAGAAAATTTTATTTCATTTCTAAAACTGTAATAATTTTAGGGTAATAATAAATAAATAAATATAAATTTTAAAATGAAATGATGACAATAAATTGTCTGGATAAAAAAAAATAATTTCTTGATGAAGCTGGTGGTTAATTTTAACAATGAAAAGTCATGACTCCAAATGCAATGAAAAAATTCAGAGGAGTATTTAAGGAAATAATAAAAATATGAAAAGATAAACGAATGCCTAAATAAAGGTAAAATTGATATATTGATTTTATTGACATATGTACAGATGTACAACAATATGTATGAGTGAATGTAATTTTAGTTCATACCTACCTATACGTTTGAGTAGCTTCTCAACACAATTTTTTGTTTAAAGATTAAATCTTTAATATCCTTTTGTTTTATTTGTTAAACTGATTGTTCTTTTTAATTATATAACGACACAAAATTGTAAAGATTCTTGGTATGCAGTCGTATACAGCGACTTACGCCCATTTCATATGATGCTTTTTCTGTAACAATGCAAAAGGTATAATGGTTTTTGTTGACATTTTGAACCTAAGAAAGAATTGGAAAACAAATCTAAACAAAAAAATAGTTGAAGCTAATTTTGGTGTACAAGACTGTGATCTAAAAATAAATTATTACATAAGAAAAAATTAATACAGCAAAATGATTTCCCTAGCTCGCCAAGATTGTGGAACAAAGAAAATATCATTAAAAAATCCAACTTACATGCAAATACGAATTAAATTTTATTTTATTCTACAGAAATTTGTATTAAAGCTAATACACTTGATATACTCTGAACGTAAGTTTTAAGAACTACTTGTAGCATTAAATATTCAATAGGAGCAAAAAGGTAACCAGTGGTCAATATAATATGTTGAATTATATTTATGCAAAGCTTTTTAGAACAAGTTACAGTAAACTTTTCCATTTTAAAATTTTTAATGTCACTATTCTCTAACTTGATATATAAATTTTCAAGTTTTGTATCAAGAATACCCCTTCTATCAAAGTGGGGTAATAAGTTTTTTAAATTTTGTACCACCCTTTTGTTTTTGTAGATGGTTCTCTTAAAATTAAAAGCCCTTTCATCTTCGGCCATTAAAGCATTAAAATCAGCATCTTCTGTCTCTTCGTTAAGCATTACTGGTTGAATAACACAACTTGAATGAAAAGCTGAGCAAAAGAAAATTATTTTTAAAAAAAGCATATATCTGACAATTGATAAAAACAACTTACCAAAGAACTCTTTTGTAATGTATTGAATATGAAATTCATGTAGGGTGGGAATTTTACCATTGAACTTAAGTTTTTTTAATATTTCAACCAGAAAATTATGATAGTATTGTATATATTTATCTTCTTCTGATAATCTCAATTCTTCTTTCATAGATGTATTCATAAAATAAAGTAAATCGAGTACGGATGAACCATAGAAACTATACTGATAATCTAAGATAATAGCTTCTAATGGCTTATTAATCTGTTTTTCGTCATATTTATACAATAAATTATTCACCCAAAAATCACCGTGTACAAATGAATTGAATTCATGTTCTTGTACATCAAATAATTTTCGTCCAATGTCCATTAATTGTGGTACTAATTTTTCAATTTTTTCACTATATTTTATATATTCTGCACCGAATTTTTAAACAGTTTCACCACAAATTCTTAAATTATTTTCAAAAAAACTTGCATATGAATTTGTATGTCTATTAAAAAATCCCCGATCATATGTTTTAAATGAATTTGGTTCACGTTCATTTAATACAGCTGATGTTGCATGCAATTTCGCCAATTTTCGTAATGCAAATTTTATATGAGCTTCATCAAGGCCTTTTGTCAAGGATTTCTTGATTTTTTTTATATGTATAACAGAAAATAAAAGCATTCTTCGAAAAATTCATTCTGGCAAAATTTCGAAATTGTAGTTTCAATAGTTTCTATATTAAATAACCAAATCACTGTAGGAATTTTATGCCAGCTACCACAGCGAATCTTTCAATTTCAATTGTGTATTTACTTGAGACAATGATGAATTTTCTCTGTGCAAATTTTTAATACTCTAGCTTCTATAATTTCATAGATATAGCCAAATAATTTTTGAAGCTGTATGACCACTACCTAAACCACTGCTTCGGTTACTTTCAATTCAAAATAGGATTCTGGTATTTGTTATAAAAAATTAGTTTTGAAAATTTTGTAAGCTTTAGTTTACACAAACTCATTTAGCTTGTGAATTATCGTTGAGACAACCGAACGCATAAACTAACAGAATCAGTTACTCAAAACTCGATCCTAATCAAAGTCATATACACTTGCGTCTATATCTAAGATTATTATTTGTTAGATTCTTAGATTATTATTTGTTAACGTTACGAACAGATTTTTTTTCTGTAGAAAAATGAATAAAATGAGTATCTTAACTGATCCCGTGTATCGGAGTTTAATAACTATAAATATAGTGCTAATGAAAATTTGAATAACAAAGAAAAAATTCGTTCAATATTCTTTTTTCCTAAATATATGCAATTATAATATTAATTTTTATAAAATATCCTTTTTATTTTTCAGTATCGTATTAATAATTCAGTATGGTTTAGTCAACTGGATAGTTCTTAAGTATTTCTTTAGTTTAATAATAATATCTAGTGTAATAACATTTAGTGGGATTTAGTGTGATCTTACACTAATTAGATGAATGTTTTTACATCATAAACACTTGCTGCAAATAAATTAATTTTTTGTTTATAGAATTCCAAATGAAAGATTTTCTTATTTCTCACCTTATTCCATTCTAATTCTAATAATGTCATAATAAAATTCATCAATTCTTGTAAAAATATCACGAAAGAATAAAAAATAACTTGGAATGTAAATTATTTACAACGTTCAAGGTTTCTTTATTAAAACCCCCGAGTCAGTACACACAAACAAAAAGTAATAAGGAACGAAATAATAAGGTTTTTCCACTCAACTTTATTTCGGAATTTTCCAGATTGAAACCCAAATTTGAGGAGAGTAATATGTGAGACCATATTATGTTATGTGGGGCTGAAATCTGGCTCATATATTGAGACATCCCCCTGAAATTACAAGAATGAGTACTTACACTAGTTTTACAGGCAAAAATTTTCAAAAGGTTTACCGATCATTTTAATTATATAAAATTGTTATTAGTGAATCTACTTTTTCCATTTAAATTCAATCGCATAATAAAACAGAAAATAAAGGATTAATAATGAAAAAAGAAAAAGGAAAAATTAATAATTAAATTTTATTATTAAACTCCACATAAAATGGCAATAAATTACATTATTTTCCTTAAATAAAGACAATTAAATTCTAATAAATTGTTAGAAAAATCTATTAAAACTATTCAATTTCTGTATAAAATCACCACTGAAGTTACAACAAAGACATGCTGAGCTTTATGGCCTTTTAATATTTTTAGTGTTTCATTATAGAAAAATTAAATTAAAAAGGACCTACGTGATATTAAAAGAAAACATATAAGCCAAAATAAAATTTTATTAATAAATTATTCCGAGTACGTATAAGTAACAAATCTTAAAAGGACAAGGACAATTTATTAATAATTTTAATCTTTTTATGTTTATTAAATTTCTCATCTAACTTTGTGTACTACAAACAAAATTACTGTAACACAAAAAGTGATGATCTTTTTTTGATTAACAAAAAAAAACCCTTATTTTTCTCACACTAATAATTAAAAAAAATATTTTTATAAATTTTGATCATCTCTATAGAAGATTTTCCTTTTGTTTTAAAACTATTTAAGATTGCATATAAACTAATTTCAATCCAAAATAAAAAATAAAAATTCATAAAATTAAAAACAAAGAATCTCTTTCTCGTTTAAAAGTTATTACTAACCATATATCTATTATTTGAATGCTAAAAAACATGATTTTATCTTTTTGACCTACCAAAATACTTATCACTAAAAATAGCAGGTGGTCTTGGCGCCAGTTTAACAAAAACCAAGAAAAAAAGCAACAACAACTAAATGTTTTACTCCTTTAATTTTTTTTTATGCTTATGGTGTATTTGTTTTTTTTTTTTTTTATATTTTTTTTTTAAATACGACTTAATGATAATGCGGAAAATTGAAATTTTTACGCGATATTAAAAAAAAGGGTTTGTTACCATATACTCGTCTAATGCACCATGAAATTTAGAATTCAATTATGATTTTTATATACGCGTCGATCGTCAATCATCGAAGAAAATCCCTCATTTTGTTGATTTCTATTTGTTTTTGGAAAATAAAAATGTGATGGTAAAAAATATAAATTTCTACGTAATTCTGAATTACTCTAATTTATTTGAATGAAAATTTACAGTTACTAAGAGTAAACTAAAGAATTAGTATTCAAGAGGATTATGCTAGTATTTAAGAGCATTAATACAGTAATCATGGAAATGATATTTCGCTTTGTGTGTGGATGGTACAAATTTTTCTATTTCAAAACAAGACCTTATTAAATATTTAAGGTTGAATGAGTATTGGCATACAAACACGTATATGTAACAAAATATTTCATTGTTTTATCAATTAATTATCACTGCAAATAATTGTATACACATAACGAGGCACTATTTGATGCGTTATGAAGACTATGCCAAGTACAAAATTGTTTGAACGTAAGTCGATTACAGTATAGTTTGCTAATGGTTCTCCATTAAGCAGTAGTAAAGATTCAAACCGTTTTGCTGACGTAGATGTTTAAAATTTAATTTCATGTTCAAATTTTTTTAGATTCACTGAAGCTATTTACGAAAAGACAGTAAAATCAAATACGTTTTCGTATTTTTTTTTTTTTTGGCATAATATACGAATGGCCGATATAAAGGAAAATGTTGGGTTTAAATTATTTTGAGAAAGAAATCTAAACTCGCCTACCAAATTTATCTATATTATAATTATATAGTAAACAAATTATATGTAATTAATAATTGTACAATTATAGTAAAATTATATGCTCTGTATATATCGTATTGGTATCAGATGTGTTGTAAATAAGTCTTGCTGTTTATTAATTTTCGAGTTATGTTTATGTTCTTACTAGTTGAATAAGACTTCTACGCAGCAGATGCAATTCCACAATATTTATTCGCAATGATTATATATTATACTGTTGAAACACAAATTCTGCAAAGCAAATAAAATCTGCAAAGCAATTCTATTCGTGAAAGAATTATCTAATGTATTATGTAATCAAGTAAGGATATAATTATAAGAATAACGGTGTGATAACACAATTTCACAAAAAACAAATTTAGAAATTTAAAGTTTAAATTGGCAAGCTTAAAATTTAAATTACATAGTTAAAATGTAAATAGCTTTTTAAGCAATCAGTACGCGAAGCCTAAGCAACGTGAAGTATTAAAGATTACCCTAGACGCAAATTTTTAAAAATGTTATATAAGTGCCGGTACACAGTTGCAAGGAAAATAATTTCTTTCATATAAGCAAAGTATATTCTCATGTTGAGAGCACCTTTACAAATTTCACTAACCCAGGCTGCTAAACACAAACCTTAAATATATCAAAATAACATTGAAATTTCCAAAATAAGCGACATGCCTTTGATCAAGCTATATTCTGGATGCTAAGCATTTAGATATACACAAGATTTTCAGGAAGAATTGAATGGATCAGAAAAGCCGTTTTTAGTAACGTTTTAGCTGCAAACATAACTTTAATTAAATGTAATGAAAGACCCAAATCATTCTATACGAATATACAAGACCCTCCGTGATTATTACATTAATAATGACCCAATTTCAAAAATAAATGAACAATTTTTACTTCTATGTAGGTTTGTAACCTTTATTAACCAAAACTGTATGAATAAAAATATTTCTTTTAAACAACCAACAAATTTAACAAATCCCACGGTTTTTTAATTCTTGCATAACAACATAAGACTGGCATACATACATATCAACTGAAAAGTATGCTAATTAATAAAGAGCGTAAAACAATGGAAACAAATTATTAAAAACTCACTGGAAATGAATCATCATTGAAAATTAAGAAGAAAAAAAAACCAATTTCAAAGTTTAACTCTTTACTATTAAAACACAACCATACGCAGAGAGGCTCCGTAAATGAAAAATAAATTGAAATGACGACAACTTTATGTTCTGATTTTAAAATCATGACATCAAAAGATTTTTAATCTATACACACATACACACACAAAGACCAATAATTCGTTTTATCTTCTCAGTTTCCTTTTCTATATACCGTATAATATGTTTAAGGTTGTCAACTATCATGTAGAACATTTCATGTTTTTTTTTAAAACGATTGCATCTTATTTGGTTTTCCTTTTTTTTTTTGATTAAGAACAAAAGGACTTTCTTTTGGTCACTATTTAAGGTTCATTTTTATTTATTTTTTTTCTTTGTTTTCTTTTTGAATTTATGCTTATTCCTTTGATCCGATTAAAGATTATTGAGATCAGATAAGTTTGACATTAATAAGTTACGGTTAGTACTTGCGACAGTACCATATTATGTTTTTTCTTGCTTTAAATGAAGTTACCCGTATATGTAAATTTGTGTGTGTGCGATATATTAAAATAAATGATTAGGTTGCTCCTTTAGATCGGTTTTCAAATTTAAAACTTTAACTTGTTATCAGTTGATATGTGTGGGAATTTTATAAGTTAAAGAGTTTTATAAATAACAAGAGTATATATGAGAAATTTTACGTTTTTCCAATGGCTTAAGTTTAAATAACTTAAGGGTAGTTCTTAACGACTTAATTGCTGTGCTTGTCCGATAATATTTCAATAACAGAGAGTTTTGTGATTTTCCTTCCATATACTTTCTTTCCATTTACAAGAGGAACCATAG